CAGCAATCTCTGAGAGTTTGGTGATAGTTTAGACGATTCGTCATCTAACTCTTGGCGGAGCTGTCTAAGCCGTATCTTTGAGTTTACTTGTGTTGCACGTTTCCATTTGGAGAGCTCTTTTCGACAGCCGGAAATACTTATAAAGATGTAGAAAACTATTATCATATATACAATTAATATTTTATTTTAATCACTTCTTTTATAACTTAAGATTAATCCTATGTCTCTATACTATTATTTTTATTGTAACTAGATGAGTACCTGTGCATACGTGCGGGATTGTTTACTTATAACTTGTCTCGGATACAAGTGAATCACTAATCTTTGTAAAATTCTAACTTTTAGTTACTCATGTACTGAAAATGTTCTCAAATTCTATAACTTTAACTCATAAAGTCATTGATTTAAAAGTTTTTATCCAAGAAATATTCTCTAGACATCACAATCCAAATTGATCATTAGGTTATTAAAGATAAAAACATTGTTGACTAAAATATTTTCTTGTAAAAAATCAAGCTTGAACATCTCTTTCTTCTTCATCCATGTTTTAAATTATGTTAGAATTAGTTCATTTATTTTCTCCTTCTATGATGATGATCTCTCTCTTTGCATGTTTCTTCATCTTTTGTGTACACATTAAATTATGTAAAAAGTTACGATTAGCCCAAACTCCCACGTTGTTTCCCGTATTTCACGTTGTGGGTTGATGTACATACACGAGTACAGTCAAAGAAATTATGTTCATGGCAACCTAAAACAAACCAAAATCTTGCTTGATGACCAACTATAGCCTCGCATTTCAGGTTTTGATCGCACACGTCTCGTCTCTAGTTACTCTAAGCACAACGCTTTGCTATAAAGCTTAGACCAAACCTTAACCTCTGCTACAACAGTGAGAAGAAATGAAGAATCGTTGCTTCTTTGGTTGTTAACCTTGCACTCGAGACTCGAGCTACTTCTAGTTGCAAATTATCTTAGAAATCACAGTTCCTTCGATGCTTACCTTCAGTTCCTTGGCAGGTTTGTTGCTGTACCTTCAGGCTTTCTCCTAATCATAGCCTTGCTACCAAACAATTTTTTTCCATCGAGACATAGAAGGTTTGATTCCATTTCAACTGCAGATCATAGGGCAATGTCTAATAAACAAATAATTCGCAGAGCATATCCCTCATGTCTCGGCCTTTGATGGAATTCAACCCAAATCCTTACCTGCTTCAACTCTGGTCGGGGCAAATTCAAGATAGAGAATAACTTGATCGCATTGTAACCAGCAATGCGTCCATCACCATCTGGTTAGTACACAAAGCCGAGAATCTCTTTAGCAAATAAATTGAAGATGAAAATCGTAGATTGATGAACATTAACAGAATCGAAAACTACATCAAATGAGACCTGAAAGTCAAATTCAAACGATTCATTGTAGCTCAATTGATTCTCCTTGGAACAAACCCCAAATGCGACATAATCTGGCAATGAAACCCTAGAAAATAAACAGAAGTTTTTATTTGTAAAGCAAAGACTGTATAAGATGGAGAAGAAAGAGGAAAAACCTTTGAGGTTACACTGGAGCAACTGTTCAAAGGAGTGGTAAGAACAACGGGCAGTAACATCTTTGTCTTTATGAGAAGGAAGTATGGTGCAAAACTGAGCAGTCATGCCAGTAAAAGCTTAACCTTTTCTCCGTCAAGTCCTCAACCCAATTTTCAACCTTGACCTCACAAATATTTCAATATAAATTAAATGGCTTATTACAATATAAAAACATAGCTTCCATCAGTAACTTGAAGACATTCGTAGGAACACTAACAAACTTGCAATTCGTAATCTTGAACTGTAAAACTTCAATAAGGTTTCCTTTGAGAAGTGAGAAACCTACAAAAAAATATATTAACATATGCCCAATCAGACATACTATATAGTGTTCATATATCAATCTCAAATACATATCAACGACAAAGACGTGCAAGGGCATGGTTCTCGGTTAATTGGCATTCAGAAGTTTATACCATTTTTGTTAATTATGTTAGAAAGTAATAGGAATGCAAGATCCTGACAACTAAGGACTAAATTCTAAGTTTCAAGAATCCAAGTTCGGACAAAAAAAAAAATCACCAAGATGTGGACATAAATCTTTCAGGAAGATCAAGCAAAATATAAACAGAAATGCATTGGATCATTTTTCATATTCTAAAAAAAAATTAGAAGCAGAGACGTCTATTAAAACTTGAGCCTGCATTTTG